TTATGGTTAGGTAATAACAATAAAACTATAGTTTCGAGTTAAGTTTACAAATTAAGGTCAGGGTTTTCATCACAAACTGACATCAGCCATGATTCAATCCTTTGCCACCCTTCTGTTTACAAACTTGAAAAACCTAAGGTTCAGTTTTATGGTAAGAGTAAAAGAGAGAGAATATTATCTAGCTTTATTAAACACTTGATAACTCAATGAATCATATCAAGTACTTAAACATGTAATCTGCCTTAGGAACAGGTTTTTTTTGTAATTTCGTTTAAACTCCATCTAAAATTCACATCTCCATTGCATGATAGATATTTTTATTGGTCTCAAGTGTTTTAAGGACCAAATATTGTCAATTCTCACTTAGTTAATAATGACATATATGATATCTTAGTTGGAAGCGTGAGTCAGTTGAAGCTAGACCACCATGGAAAACCTGGAAACACTGGACGGCCGTTTCGTCCTATTATGGGACTCCTCAGCAGTGCGCATCCACGAACCCGCTCTCGCGAGATTCGAAGCAGTGACCAGTGGAGTTCAAAACCATGTCTGTTGTGAGATAGGAACTCACTGAAGACAATTGGTGAATGGTTGCTCAACTTCGTGGATCAGTTGAAGTTAGACAGTGATACTGTTGGATGCCAGCTCAATGGTCTATCGGTTAAGGGCTTCGGCTCGAGACTGGTAGGTCCTGGGTTCGAATCTCGCTCGCGAGAGCGGGTTCGTGGATGCGCACTGCTGAGGAGTCCCATAATAGGACGAAACGGCCGTCCAGTGTTTCCAGGTTTTCCATGGTGGTCTAGCTTCAATTGACTCATGCTTTCTACTATGAAAAATACTAAATCTCCACAAAACCCCTTCTATAATTAATATATGATATCTGTCACTTCAGTTTGATCAACTCAACGCCGTCAGTATATCATGCTTTTACCATTTAATGACTCCCTATGTTTTATCAAGTGAACTCAATTATTTAAGTAAAAAGCTTTTATTGGAGAGTATACTTTTCAGTAGTTTAGTGTTACATAATCTTTTAATTAATGGATTTTAGAATGTTACTTTTTGGTTGGTACATAAGATTAGGATTAAATTTTAATAAGTCTTATTGTCTGAAAGTTGTTTAGTTTTCTGTGATGGCATGTTGTTATGAAGCCTCAGTTGAACGTTGAAAGTGTACGGTCTTTGAGATTACGTTAATCAGACTGATTCGTTTTTTCATTATCATAAGAAGATTTCTCGTACTACATATAAAACCCCAATAATCACCAATTGGAATTATTTGGACTTGGTGTTGCTCACCTAACGTATCCTAATTAAGGACTTAAATTTTACTATTATGCCTGGAGTTGCTCCTGTTATGTCTGACGTACCGTCGCTGTTATGTATCTATAGAATCTCCTGTATCCATAGTTTTATTGTTTATGCTTGACAATCGGGAACTACTGAAATTCCTCGACCTCACTACCTATACTTTGAAACGGGGATCACTGCACTTTCCACAAAACATTGTCATAGCATAAAAGACTGGTTCAATGAAGATTTATTGACTATCTAAAAACACATTCACAAACAAATCTAAAAATTACATTTTCATTAGACAAAAATACAATCATTTATATTTTCATAGTTGAAAGCATAAGTCAATTCAAGCTAGACCACCAAGGAAAACCTAGAAGCACCGAGCAGCTGTTTTGTCCCATCGTGGGACTCCTCAACAGTGCGCATCCACGATCCCACCATCGGATGCCGACCCGTTCACCAATTGTCTTCAGTGAGTTTCTATCTCACAACAGACGTGGTTTGAACTTCACTTGTCACTGCTTCTCACTATTACTCCAGGAATTATCTCTTGAAGTCAGTCACTAGTAAGCATATAATTATAATCAGAAGGGGTTTTGTGGAGATTTCAGTATTTTCATAGTTGAAAGCATTAGTCAACTATGAAAATACTGAAATCTCCACAAAACCCCTTTTGATTATAAACGTTTATATACTAATTTTTACACACAATATTACATATAAGAGAAAATACATCGAGTGACTGCAAATGCATACACTAAATTTAGTCCACTGGACGAATTAATACAGGGAATATAATCGTCATACTGAACGGAGATTAACACTTGTCTTATTGAACAAAATTTATACTGAATTGATACAATGATTATTCACTTAAACAAATATCATCTTTTAAAAAGTGTTAAGTGTTAATGTAGAGACGGCCCTCGGTGAACTCATAGAAGCTTTGAAAGGGCCGAAGACATTCCATCTAATGACCTTACTTAAAGACATTCCAGAATATTGACGTGTAACTTCCTGATTGGACTAATGCTAAAAATAACTTTATGCTGATTGGATGACTGTAATAATGTTTTTTTCTACTAAAAGCTATAAATACCTGAATATTTTGTGCTATACTTAACACTGTTTGGAATAAGATTCTTTCTCACTTACCTTCTAACTTTTGACTTGAAGGGTTCAAGCGTTTGATTGGTCAATTTGTACACGGTATAGCAAGAATCTAAGTTCTATATGTACTAACTAATAATATCTTACTCTTCAAATTCTTTTCAGTTGTCTTAAGTTTATTAAATTTTCAAAGTTTCATTATAAATCTTCCATATTTAAAGCATTGTAAGCAAAGATGGATAGTGCCTAGCAGTGGAATCAAGGACTCGTGTTTCGTCCTATTTTGGACTCTTCAGCTGGATGTACATGCATCTCAGAGTTGATATTCACTCTTGGACTCGAACCCAGCACCTTTCGCTTCAAACGCCATCACGTTATCCTATCAGGATTCAGTAGCTGAGTGAATAATGCGATGGCGTTTGAAGAGAACGGTACTTGGTTCGTGTCCTAGAGTGAACATCAACTCTGAGATGCATGTACATCCAGCTGACGAGTCCCAAATAAGACGAAACGCACGTCCTTGATTCCACTGCTAACCAATATCCATCTTTGTTTACAGTATCAAGTTTTGTTACTGTTCAAAGATCTACACTATTGTATATCGAAATTCATTATTATGTATCATGGATATGCTATTATTTTCTATTATTATTATCATTATTATTAATAATGGCTTTATTCAATATTACATTTTTGGTACAATATGAAATTCTCAGCACAAAGTATCTAAAGAAGTTTCCTATTTCTTATTTCTTGAACGATCCTGACGATAAATATTTAGTGATCGGCAATTACATATTAGCAGTTGTGGAATTGACATCTGAATAATGTTTATTCAATCCAATGCATATTACCAGCCACCATGATATCTCTGATTGTACTTTTTTTGTAGATTGTACAGAGAAAGATCGTAATGTGTGATAATTTTAGAGGTAATGAAGGAATCATGGAATTAAAAACAAATAGGGTGGGTTACGTAATAATTGAATAGAATTTGGAGAGTTCATATAACTTAAGAGAGACAAGTGAGCGGAAATATGTTAGAGAAAGGGTGGTTTAAGAATTGGGCAATAGAAAAGGAACATAATAAAAACTAAATATTAACCAAAATAAAACTAATATTAAAAAAAGGATTACCAGGGCAGTAATAAGTTTATCACTGTCTCTTTTTAAGTACATAGATCTGGTTTGAGTTTTTTTTATCGCGATCGCTTCAGCAAATCGGAGGACAGTCGTACTTCTTTGTTTGCTAATGATTTTGAAAGCATGAGAAATATCAATGGTGTGCTCGGTGTCGAGTAAATGCCGAGCTATTGCATTGTTGAAAGCCCTGATCCATCGCAGCCTTAGTTTCTTAGGAACATGCTCAGAAATGCGAACATGTACTCTTCCCTCGGTTCTTCCAATGTATGTGATTTGGCACGTACATGTAAATTGGTAAATGCAGATGGAGCTACTGAGAAAAAAAGGACTTGTCGATTTTAGCTTGTTTGAATGATCATCAATATTTGTTCTGTTTTTATTTAAATTCATAAAAGGAAGTAACTGCATGAAACTTGTTGAAATATCTATCTAGATGACAAGAACAGGTAGTCCAGATATTTAAGCAGGTTGACAATAATGATTATTCTGTTATTCATTAACTTTAATTAATATCTATTTATAATAGGAACTTTTAATAAGATATTGAAAATCAGTAAATTTTAAATAGAACTGTATGGCCTTAATTAGTATTTTGTTAAATAGCACTTAACCTCTAGACCACTGAGCCGGCATCCGACAGTGTTAATGTCTAACTTCAACCAATCCACTAAATTGAGCAACCATCCACTATTGTCTTCAGTGAGTTGCTATCTCACAACAGACTAATAGGTCCTGGGTTCGGATCTTGCAAGGGTAGATCGTGGATGCGCACTGCCGAGGAGTCCCACAACAGGATGAAATGGCCGCTCAGTGCTTCCAGGTTTTCCATGGAGATCTAGCTTCAATTGACTCATGATTTCAACCATAAAATAAATTAGTCATTAAATAGTTACCAACGTTATGTTTTTCTAGTATTTTAGTGATGATCGAATCCTGTCAACCAAATTGCATTATGCCCACTATCTATAAGTGACTTAACAATGCATCCACTATTTTGAGATGCTAGCTGCTTGGAGAAAGTTGACAAAGAACTCTGCTTCACCTACATTTTGTACTAGTTCACATTTGTCAACAAAGGTTACCAACCGGCTTGATATAAACGATACTCCTTGTAAGAGAGTTAGTCACAGCTTGAATAGCTCAGCAGTAGTATTTCAAACTGTTAAACTAGGTGACGCGTTTTGAAATCCCACAGAATATCATCCGTTCCTTGAGTGTCACAGATACACACCTCAATGACCTATGCTAATTAGTAGAAAACCTATATCAAGATGTGTTTCCTCTGCCCTGTTGCCTCAAACCATCAAATACCAATATATTTTTTTGTTGAAGAGATTTTGTGGTGATTGGTTTGGTATGAAGGTTAAATTCGTTGTAGATTTTCCTCGTTTAGGATATTATTCAATATTTATGAAATCCTATTAATCATCTTTTCTTATTTCATTTAGATTACGTAAAATACCAGGCATTTTTGTATTTGGTGAACCAAATGTTTCCGTTGTAGCATTTACTTCCAATCACTTTGATATATATAAACTAAGTCATTCATTATCCGATAAACCAAATGGACGTGGTTGGAATTTAAATAATTTACAATTTCCACCAGCAGTTCATTTATGTGTTACCGATATGCATACAACGAATGGTTGTGCAGAACGATTTATTCAAGATATCAAGGAAATTGCTAAAGAATTAATGAAAAAACCAAATAAAAAATCTGAAGGTTCAGTAAGTTGTGTTTTTTCATTCTGTTCTTGTTATGTTGAAGTTTACATGGGGATGTAGTTCAATAGTTAAGGCGTTTGACTTCCAGCCATAAATTCCCAGCCTTGATCCTTGAGTTCATCTACTTCAGTTTAAGCAACTGGTTGGTATTGGTAACTTTGAATGAATCCGTACTTGGTTAATGAGTTAAATGAATCTATTGTCGCCTAATCAAAATTAAATCCTTAAATATAATGGTGGTTGGTAGTGTAAGATCCAGGGATAATCATACTATTGGATAGATTTTCATGTATATTAACATTTTATGCTACACACTACGAAGGGGCTAAATAAAAAAAACTGCTGTTCTTTTTCATCTGGGCTTTAAAGAAGAGTCAGTAGTTCTGATACTAGGGTATTATTTATCAAGTTACAGGTAGAAATAAACTTCATTTATTTCGAACATAGTTATTATAGAATAACATCCATACGGTGTGGTGTTCCAGCCATTTTAGGTTGGTGAAACCTCACTTAGTAAAGTCCATAGGCGTATCTGGATTAAAATCCACTTTCCAAGGCCCACAAAACCACCATGTGGACGTGATTTAGAAGAGAAATAGTTAGAACTTCCGGGTCTTGGTGCGCGGGCATCGCACTAAGGGAAAATATAGTCTACATGCACACTGGTAAAACACAAGTTTTTACTCATGCATCCTGTGACATACATATATGTATATTCACCTGGGAGGGTGGATGGTCATCACTCCCTTCAAACGTATATCACTGGTATAAAGACTTTTACCCCTGCACTTCACGGCATACACATAAGCATAATCACTCAGAAAGGGTTGGTGATCAACTGTCTCTAGTATTTGCTATCATATCTTTTATTAGATTTTCGCCCTAATTGGCTTAGACCGCTAATTTTATTAGACATAAGACAGACATTTTTTTCAGCTTACGTTCGTTTTGCGAACCCGGAGCGTAACCTTTTGATGTATCTAAATAAACGACTTAAAAAGCCAAGACACATGTAATTCATATACATGAGCACACACATCGGACAGCCCATCACGATTTTTAAAGTCATGAAGCGTAAACTTTACGCGGTAATTATTCTCTCTACCCTCAAGGGAATATGAAAGTAAACGACACGTAAAGAATTTATTTACAGATCTTTTCACCAATGATTGCAATGGAAAACCCTTTAGTGTTTATCATGAGAATTGAGGTATGTAACTTTGAGAATTGACAACTTAGGATGCATATTTCAAGGAGAAACCAACTTCATGTTTATATATGCGCTTGGAAAAGGAATTTTGGCGAGACTAAACTATATGGACGACCTTTGAACGAATCTTAAATGACCTTGAGAAATATTAGTCAATCAGAAGACAGTTAGTATACAGTAAAAATATATTATACAAAACTCAAAAATTAAAGGGGATACTGTTCTTTTACATGACTCAAAAACTTATCAAGGTTAGGTATAGGTTCAGAAGTTATAAAATCATAGTGCATCGGGTACATGAACTCATCCATGTGGCTCCATAATAGTCGACCTCTGGAACCATGATAAGGTCTCAAAAATTCTTTTAGCCTCGACCACATAGCTTCAATGTTGTTGGTATGTTTTAGGGTTTAGGGTTAAGGATGAGACTATAAATTATGGACGACCTTTGAGCGAGGCTAGAGTGACTTTGAGATTGTTAACATAATAACTAAGACTAAATGAGGGTTATAAACCTGTGTGAAGAATTCAAATTGTGATTTACAGTTCATGGTTAAGGTTAGGAATTATACTAAGGGTTTTCATCACGAACTGACATCAGCTATAATGCCAAAACTCTATTTATACAAATGGATAATTGAATTTCGCGCCAAAATATTATGATGACTTTTCTTCTAGACGCTGAATTATCACGGCTTCTCTAAAATCCGTTATAAGCCGACCGTACGTAAGCATCAGGTACCGAACTTAGCGCCGTGACCTTGAAAACCCGCGAAAGCTTCTGATTGGCTCGTCCATATAGTTTAGTTTCGCCGAAATTTTAAATATTTCAACTAAAGAGATCTCTTTTTCGACTGATTCCGAATCAACTTACCAAAAAAAGCACTTAGGAACAGTTTGCTATAAATAAATTTTGTTTCTAAACCTTCAGTCATACACATTCTCAATCTCCCATTGGAGTAATATCGAATTGTAGTAATCAGTAACTTGACTATAACTTCTGATATAATTAAATTTTGAATATCACTTTTGTATAGAATCGACGAAATTTTTGGTATTGTTTTAATCATGAAATGACACATTATGTGGAGAGCCCTGGACAATTATTTCGTCCTAATTTAGGTCTCTTCATCATTCTATATCATTGAAAATAATTAGGGCTTTAAATCAAAATGTCGAACAAGACACCTCTAAATCGTTAACTGTAACTTACCAATTTCAAATATATCACATTCGCCTTAATATTTTCTGCTCTTCTATTCATTCCTGTATGTAAAGTGACCTTATTGTTACTATCCCCACTATTCTGGGACTTACCTTAACAATCTGATCTCTCTGTGATAAAATGTGGTATAGCAGCTTAAATAGACGTACATACGTATCAGGTTCTACGTTGTAATTGACTAACTGTGAATTTATAAATAATTCACTATTGAAAAATAAAGATAACACTTTCGACGATTTCACTAACTTAAGCTGTACAGTCATATTTATAGTTAATTTTACTTGCTAAAATAGTGTTCAGTAATGAGATATAAAGGCGCTAATTAATTTAAAAAACTTGAAGTTGTAGGCTGTCAAGGTTTGGAAATCAGATATTAAACAGAAGTTACATAACAATGGGCTAGTGAAAACGTTTATTTATTTATTTCAACACAAAAATATTGGTACAAAGTGGCACCAAATATATATACGCCGCACAAATCTCATTCGATTTGTATGAGGGCTGTGATACTGCCCAGGTGCCCAAACTGAAGCAGGTGGTTTTCTTAGGGGGCCACACTCGGAGCCTTTGAATTAAAGGTCTAGTCCACAAGACAGTGAAGCATGGTGAGGAGATGCAGTCCCATGGTAGCCGGTGACCAACGATTGAATCACTTGCCATTCGTTCATTCAGGATACTGGACCCCATGTTCACTGTTGGTTTGGAATCAGGGTTTTCCATCTCCCATAGGTGGACTTTCCGTGTCCACTAACTCGGTTAAAGCGCCAGACATTCGCTTTCGTCCTCTCAATTTCGTAAACAACAGTAATGCCACGAGAAGGCAGTGAGTAGTACTTTCCTGGTAGAAGCTATTTACGCGTGGCTATATGAGAGTATTTCGACAGGAAGAGCGAACTCTCCCCACTCTCGGCCGTACCAGGGAATTTTGGGGTAGTGAAAACGTGTTAAGGTTGAAATAATTGTCCACTCGATAGCTATTAAGGGTAGAATAATTAAAATTTGTAATAATTGCTAATTAATAGTTGTGAAAATAATTGGAAATGAGTAGAAATAATAAAAATAAAAAAGATAGATTATGGAAGATAAAAGGGTAAATTAATACCATAGAAGAATGAGGGAATAAACATACTGCTTTTGTAGTGAAAGGTTAGGCTTAAACTGGTGGACAGCAATAGCCTCTGCTGTAAATAAATTTTTCATTCGCATCTGTTGAAATGGAGTGACTAGATGTTCCAAGATTGAGATTTTGACTGATTTCTACAATCCTTTAGACAAAAAAAACCAGTCAGTGTAATATTTGAAGATTCATTTTGATATGTCTTATAGATTGAACGTTTTATTCAGATCCTAATCTATTCTGATAACCCCAGGCTAGAACTGTTCAGCGACTAAAACACCAGAGAGAAGACACGAGTATGAGAGAAAACACTTTACTGAAAGGTTCAATCCTGTTACAGAAAATCATAGGTATTTAACGATGTTAGCCAATCCATTAACGACATATTATGATACCGAACAATAGTATCACGCTACGTTGGAACTCTAGAATGTTCCATCGTATTTTGATTGGCTGGGGCTCTTGATGAGCCTCTGAAGGCTCTGTTGGAGTTCTCTGGAAGCCGACTTAACACATTTTAAAAGAGCTTACTTTATATGACCAATCAAACTTGTTTCACATGAGCAAGTATACTAATAGATGTACATTGATTTGGCTCAATGCTTATAGTTCATTATTAATATAAAAGAATTCATTGTAAATAACAAACAAAGGAACTAATTATTTTATAAATAACCTAAATAAAATTGAATATCTTCTTTGTTTTAATTAATTACTATTCATTATCAAGAGCCAAATACTCTTTAATAGTTTTTTTTTCTACATTTTCATCTATTCTCTTCTTTTTCTTTTCTTATTTCTATCATCAATATTGAAAGGTTGCTCTTTATGGATTATCTCAAATGATACCGGATCGTTCAATTGTTACTGAATTAGCTCATTGTTATTTAGATGCATATTATGATATACCAAACAATTAATCATAATTATAATACAGGAAAGATACTTTTTTTTCTAGGGTTTATCTTTGATATGATCTAATAATTTATTGTCATGTATACAACTGATATTCAATAATTATTATTTAAACATTTATTACTTACTTACGCCTGTTACCCTTTCGTCGAGGAGCATAGGCCGCTTATCAGCATTCTCCATCCAACTCTGTCCTGAGCCTTCATTTCTAGTTGCTATTTATCCTTTTCATGTCTAAACGTTTATACTACTTAAAATATTTTAACTGGATAATTGCCCTTTATCCTATGTGTATTAGAATAACATTAAATTCACGTCGATTTCTTAAAAAAAATTTCACCCCTCCCTCTTTTTGAAAAACATTTTCATCCCATTTTCCAATTTTTTTTTCACATCCTTAAATTTCGAAAAAAAGGGTGGTAGGGGATCATACATGTCGTGAAATTAATGTCAACCTAGGTATTATGGTTGTGTGTGTTGTTCTCATCTGTTGCACTGATTTTCTGTTTATTTACTTATTATTATTTGTTTATTTATTTACATAATAGAATTATTTGAAATCTAAGCTTGTTCGATTCGTTTCTAAGATTGATAGAACAGCATATATGTAAATAAAATTAGAAGGGGATTTTTGTGGAGATTTCAGTATTTCTTATAGTTGAAATCATGAGTCAATTGAAGCTAGACCACAATAGAAAACCTGGAACGATTGCTCAAACTTCGTGGATCGGTTTAAGTTAGACATTAACACTGTTGGATGCCGGCCAGCTCAGTGGTCTATCGGTTAAGTGCTCTGATGCGATACTGGTAGGTCCTGGGTTCCAATCTCACGAGTGCGGGATCGTGGACGCGCACTACTGAGGAGTCCCATAATAGGACGAAACGGCCATCCAGTGCTTCCAGGTTTTCCATGATGGTCTAGCTTCAATTGACTCATGATTTCAACTATGGTAAATAAAATACATGTTTGTGAATATTTTCAGCTATTGATATTGTGGTGTGGTCTACTTATATCTATATAAGTAGTATATGGTGATGGTCAGACATAAAATGTATTTTGGCAGAAGACCGATAAAAAAAGAACTGAAATGAAGCGCGATTGGTAGGAAAATGCATAATCAATCAAATTAGAGAAGATTAACTGATATTTACAGGAGGAACAGTGAAGATTGAGACAAATGATTGTTATTTTGAAAATTAACGATTCACTATATGGTTATCAGATTTTAGTGAGATATTTTGTAATTTGTGCTTAAATACATTCGATTGTCTATGTAATGATGTTTGTGTGTACATATGTTTATGAATTCAAAATAGTTATCAAATAAATAGATCACAATAATAACCATAGTGATTAACCCTACTTTGTTTATCTTTGAAGACGGCCTACATTATGGACTAATTTTAGTTAGATAATCAGTTAAAAACCAAAGAACACTGGGTAAATCATTATGTTGTGTTGATATGAGACTTCTCAATAATGACTACTAACAGCTCCTAAAAAGATCGAATCTATCATCTTCAAACCTATAAGTCGGTTTACATTTACAAATTCAGATACTATATGATGTTAAACCTCTATTATATATTAACATCGATGAAATCTGTCTCATGGCATTCCATTTAAAAATTTGACATTCAATATAATAAACTGAATGTTATCTAATGAAGTAAACTTAACTTGAGTAGTTCAAACCTAAAACTTTATGACGGAATATAGAACTACAGTTGAAAGATTTCCATATACTTTAGATATCGTTTCTACCAAATCTTACTATCAAAACATTCTAGTGAGGTTCTAATAAATTGAAAGGTTTTTACGGCATCAAGTTTTATTAACCTTTTTAAATGTCATTCTGAATTTGTTTGTTTTGTTAGTATTCTATATATGAATTTGTTCATATTTCAAATACTTTCTAATCCTATATGGTTGAGATCATGAGTCAATTTGAAACTAGACCACCATGGAAAATCTGGAAGCACTAGACGACCGTTTCGTTTTACCAATCAATTGATTTATTTCATCTCCAATAAATTAATTTGTATTGTGGTGTGGTCTACTTATATCCATATAAGTAGTATATGGTGTGAGTCAGACATAGAATGTATTTTGGCAGTAGACCGATGAGGGAAGAACTGAAATGAAGCGCAATCGTTTGGAAAATGCACGAACAATGGAATTAGAGAAGAAACTGTGAAGATTGAAACAATTGGTTGTTAATTTGCAAATTGACTGTTCATTGTTTGGTTATCAGAATTTACTGAGATAGTCTGTAATCTTTGCTTAAATACATTCGATTGTCCCCAACTAGTGTTTTGTTCACTACAGTATAACCAAAATCTTTGTTACTTCTGTAAACATGGAAGAAGATTGATTAATTTAAAAGAATTATAGAAAGTACGAATGTTCACTAAGTTTTAGTTTTAAAGAAAAAGTTTAGTGATTAGTCAAATATCAACATCATATTACAAAAAATTATTGGACAATGTAAAGTTTCCCTTTTTTTGAATTTGTGTTGAAATAAATCAATAATATGTACTCGCTTCTGATTTTGCTTTTACTATTTAAAAGTTAATTGTAAATACAAACGAATAATTGTCCATTTTATTTCAGTGTATCAAACAATATGAAATACAGAGTTCAAACCTAAAAGAAATAGGAAGTTGATTAAAATTATGTTGAAATTAATCAACCTTGGTAGATCAGTGACTGATGAATTCCACTTGTACTGTCTGTAACAAAAATCCAAAATTTGCTCAGTATTGTTTACTTGAATCTTCTGATTCATGTTTAGGACTCCAATTGATCAGTCGCTTATTGGCATATGTGCATCCTATACGTATTACATCGATATTGCCTTAATTCACAAGCATTATAAACAAAGATGGATAGTGGATTGCAGTGGAATCCAGGATGTGCGTTTCATCCCATTCGGGACTCGTCAGCCGAATGTATATACATCCCAGAGTTGATGTTCACTCTGTATGACTGCAACACACAGTCTTCAAAAATTGAGGACATATATACTCTGATAATATTTTGATCATATATGGTTTCGGAATACTTCTTGAGTATATGATCAAATCATCAAACAACTAATACTGAAGCTAGGAAATGAGTTCTAGGTAAATATTGTGGATCAATCAGTGATGCTATGAACTTTCATTGACAGAAGTGCCTTATTTGCGTGTTATAAATCACCACTCCAACATACTACGCTGATTGGTACTGTGGGAAAATTTAGAGATCCTCACATGAATTTGGGTTCATGGGTTATTTCTTATACCTTTCAATAATCTGGGATATACAGAATGATCATATATAACTGTATCAAATACAAGTTGTTACAGATCGCCCGAATTAGAGCGACTGTTTAGTATCAGACTTAATTATCCAATGTCCTTGACCTAATAAACACACTGTAAGCTTAGCTAGTAGATTTCTGGAAGAAAATTATTCGAAAATTACTATTTTTCATTTTGTCACAAGTAAACTAGGTTAATAGGGACATCTGGGACTTGATCAGTGCTTATAGTATGTTTAGATCTCTAAAGTGCAACAAAATTGTAACTACAGCTTTCAGAGAAATCCTAACTCTTATAAAATACTTCTGTTGATCGTTTAATCATTAAATATGGTGAGTCACATTGTTGATTCCTTTACCTGGACAATAACACAAACAAATTTAACGATACAGTACAATCGACAGTTTGATCAATACAAGAAAAAATTGGCGTCAACTACTGACCTAAATGTAATTATCAATGTAACAAAGTTTAGATGGCTGCAGTGCATCCAGTTTTTAAGTAAAATAATATGATATTATAGAGTTATAATATAGAGTTCATCTTAATATGCTAATGAGGTATGGGAACTTGGACCGATGCATATATGTACCTGGTCCTGCGTTGTAGTTGACTGACTGACTGAAAACTATATTTCTGTGGATAGTTTAACGATTCTACAAACTGTCCAACAATTTCAGTAATTAAAAAAAAAATCCTCATTTTTCACTCCTTTAACATAAGTTCTTAGGCTGGCAAGCATTACAACCGATAAGCATAAATTTGATTGACTAACGAATAATCATTCAGTTGTTCATGTACAACATAAAACCTAGCATAAATGTATATCAACCTGCGTTCCCACATGACATCAACTATCGTTGCTAACCAGTTGTTGTGTCTTTTGCACTCCATTTATTTTGGGAAGCTTTATATCAACGATTTACTTTTATGTGTTGTAGTTACTCATATACATTTTATGACAACAGTGAAGCAGTCCAATTGCATATCATAACACAAGTAATATAAATTTCATTATAACATATTGTTATATCTTGTGCCCTACTAATATAAAACGTAATGATGCCGCCAATTAGAGATCAGTGATTTATTGACCGGACCAATGGCGCGTAGAAACCGTACGAGCAGTCCAGTCTCCTTATCGGTCCTTCCTACCTAGCCTTGCATGTTAAGTCCAGAACACCAATCTTAGCCTCTGCGATATGAATCATATATTTCAAACAAACTGAGTTTATATGAATATGCATAGTTTAGCTACTTAATATTTATGCAATAAAAGTATGTATCATATTGGTCTATAAATAGTTCTCAAGAGTTACCATTCATAACTATCGTCGAGATAATAACACATATGTACAGATAAGATCCAGTTTGTTTGTTTTTATTAACAAAATATCACAACTACTTGATTTTTTAGCAGAGATGGATAGTGGCTAGCAGTGGAATCCAGTTTCACTCACGTTTTATCCTATTTGGGAATCGTCAGCTGGATGTACCTGCATCTCAGAGTTGATGTTCACTCTGGGATTCGAACCCAGTACCCTCGCTTCAAACGCCATCGCGTTATCCGCTCGGACACTGAGTCCTGATAGCCACTTGTTTGTGCAAGGGGGTGACGTTTGAATTCAATTAGTATTGTTTGTTTGAATCTTCCCATCGATTTGTTAGGACTGCAACTGGTCAGTCTCTAATTGGCATATGTGCATACTGTGCGTATTGCCTCGATATACCTTAATTCACAAGCATAAGGTATATCGAGGCAATACGCACAGTATGCACATATGCCAATTAGAGACTGACCAGTTGCAGTCCTAACAAATCGATGGGAAGATTCAAACAAACAATACTAAAATGAATTTACTTGATTTCTGTTTTAATGAATAACTTGTATTCATATTTTAAATACTTACCAGTATAAACAATTATTCATAATATTATTGAAATCTTTAAATTCATGAGTTAATTGAAGGTAGACCATCATGGAAAACTTGGAAGCACTAGATGGCCGTTTCGTCCTAGTATAGGACTCCTCAGCAGTGCGAAACCATGATCCCACCTCGATACATTAACACCGTTGGATACCAGCTTAGTGGTCTAGAGGTTAAACGTTCATGCGCGTAATTGATAAGTTCTAGATTCAAACCTCACGAGGTGAAATCTTAGATGCACACTGTTGAGGAGTCACATATTAGAATAAAAAGGCCGTCTAATACTTCCAGGTTTTTCATGATAATCTAGCTTCAATTAACTCATAAATTCAACTAATAAAAATTAGTTGAAAGCTTGAGTCACTTGAAGCTAGACCACCAAGAAAAATCTGAAAGCACTGAACAGCCGTTTTGTCCAATTTTGGGACTTCTCAGCAGTGTGCATCCACGATCTCGTTCCGCAAAATTCGAACCCAGGACCAACAAGTCTCGCACCAGAGCGCTTAACCTCCAAAGCACTGAGTCGGCATCCGATGGTGTTTATGTCCAGTGCTTCCAGGTTTTCCCTAGTGATCTAGCTTTAATTGACTCATGCTATCAATTATGAAAATACTAAATCTCCACAAAAACCCCTTCTGATAATATTAGAAAATTACCAAAAAAATATTCACAAAACCATCCCCCTCTCTGATTAAAATTTTTATTTATCACAATTTTTCTTCTTGCCGTTGTTGTTTTTCTTTTAATTCATCAATAATATTCATCATTAATTTAAAATCATCATTACGATAATTTAAAATTATTTTTTTTTAATTCATTATGATATTTTATTAAAATGATTTGAAATTGTTTTATATATTTCCTCCTAATATAAGATTCCTCAGCAGTACGTATCGACGCTCCCACCTAGCGACATTAACACCGTTGGATATCGACTCAGTGATTCAGAGGTTAAACGCTCAGATAGGTCTTAAATTCAAATCTCACGAGGTCAGATCGTAGACACGCACTGTTAAGGAGTCCCATACTAGAACAAAACAGCTGTTCAGTATTTCTAGGTTTTTCATAATGATCCAGCTATCAATTTACTCATAAATTCAACTATTAAAAAATTACCAAAAAATATTCACAAAATCACCACCCCCCTCTTTCTGATTAAAATCTTTATTTCTTTATTTATTTATCACAATTTTGTTCTCGTTGTTGTTGTTGTTGTCTCTGTTGTTGTTCTTGTTGCTGTTGTTTTTGTTGTTATTGTCTCTACTGTTGTTCTTGTTCTTGTTGTTCTTGCTGTCGTTGCCGTTGTTGTCCTTGTTTTTGTTGTTGTTGTCTCTGCTGTTGTTCTTGTTCTTGTTGTTCTTGCTGTCGTTGCCGTTGTTGTCCTTGTTTTTGTTGTTGTTGTCTCTGCTGTTGTTCTTGTTCTTGTTGTTCCTGCTGCCGTTGCCGTTGTTGTCCTTGTTGTTGTTGTTGTTGTCTTAATTCATCAATTATATTCATCATTAATTTAAAATCATCATTACGATAATTTAATATTAATTTAATATTATTTTTTAAATTCATTAATTCATTATGATATTTAATTAAAATCATTTGAAATTGTTTTATATATTTTGTTATTATCTTCATTGATGATAATGATAATGATGAACATTTTAAAAATAAATTTTTTATATAATTTTCATTGGTAAGATAATGAAATAATTGATCATCTTCATTATCATTATGATTATTATTAATCGATTTTATTGATTTTTCATTGATCAATAAAGATTGATTGTTTATAATTGGTTTTCCAGTAAGTTTTCGTGTTAGTTCAGTATTTTCCTTTAGAAAAAAAATAAAGAAAAACAATAGAGAAGTATATTATATAAATACATATATATGTTGGGATGATCCTGAAAAGTTTTCGCAATAGACATGAAAAGCTCAGGAAACATGAAGAAGCATTTTTATCCAATCAGCGTTTGATTAGAAGGTTTACTAGAAACATCATGAAAAATGAAAAGTCACATGTAGAGTTTCTGATTGGTTGATTACTACACTGTTACTATGTTTAGTAGTATACTAAAATTTTCAGTAAAACCCAAGGACTTTTAAAATATCATAAAAAACCCTATATTTTCTGTACATAAATGAATCTTTGGAGTAAAGTGCTTTTAGTATATTAAGGTAACATGGTGGTTGGAGGTAGTCAACAGGAAACCCTGGACCCGGGTTTCGTGCTACTTGGCACTTGTCAGCAAGGTTTACCTGTAATCTTGAGGGAACTGATGCTCCCTGACGGATTCAATCCCGTGTCACTCAGCTTCACAGTCAGAGACGTTACCATTGAGCTACTCGGGCCGCGACCGACCTTCTGTAGGACTGAGGTGTAATCACAATTGATTGATCACTGGGTGGTGATCAATGTCATGCGTGTCAAGTCCGTCTTAGTGCTCATCGAATGCAATTGATCACGTCTCTGACTGTGAAGCTGAGTGACACGGGCTCGAATCCGTCAAAGAAGCACCAGTTCCCTCAAGATTACAGGTACACCTTGCTGACGAGTGCCAAGTAGCACGAAACCCGGGTCCAGGGTTTCCTATTGACCACCTCCAATCACCATGTTACCTTAATATATATAGTGCACGCAGTGTCGAGCCACCTAGACTGGTGGTCGCATTGCAACTTGATCGATAGCATTCGATCAGCACTAAGGGCTTGACACGCATGAGATGGATCACCACCCAGTGATCAATCAATTATGGCTTCTAGTATATTTTGCACCTTTTCTCTCGTGTTCAAGTTGCTGTATAGTTCTAGCTTGGGAGTACAAGACTATCTTAGGATCCGAGTATAGCGTTCAGTCAACAAGGCTTATCAATATATAATATGTATTTCCAGTAATAATACGAATTATAAAGTTTTTATCAGTATAAAAATGGTGTTTTTTTAATTAGTGGTTTGTCTTTTTCGTATTGCGGTGCGGGTTACTAATATCCATATAAGTAGTATATAATGATGCTCAGGCATTGAATACATTTCAGTAGAAGATCGATAAGGAGAGAACGGAAACGAAACGCAATTGATGTGAAAATGTATGAACAATAATAATCAGAGCTTATGGACTGATATTTGCAGAAATAATGGTCAAATTTGGGACAATTGATTAATAAATTCATTTAGCATTGTTTGTTTGAATCTTCCCATTGACGTTTAGGATTGCAACTGAACAGTCTCTTATTCGCATATGTGCATACTGTGCGTATTGTTTCGATATAGCCTTAATTCACAAGCATTGTAAGCAAAGATGGATAGTGGCTAGCAGTGGAATCCAGGACGCGCTTCCCCATTGCACAAGCTAGTGGCTATCAGGACTCAGTAGCTGAGTGGATAACGCAATAACATTTGAAGCGAAAGGTACTGGGTCCGAGTCCCAGAGTGAACATCAACTCTGAGATGCAGGTAAATCCAGCTGACGAGTCCCAAATAGGATGAAACGCGCGTCAAACTGGATTCCATTGCTAGCCACTATCCATCGTTGCTTACAATTGATTAATAGTTTGCAAATTAAGTGTTTATTGTATGGTTATCAGATTTCAGTGAGACATTCTGTAATTTTTTGCTCAAACACATTCGACTGTCCCCACTCGTGTTCTTGTTCACTACAGTATAAGCAGTAGTGTAGACATTGTTGAATTTTCTAGATTGTAGCAGAGATTGCTTTTAGTTAGATAAATGGTAGGGCGATGAGTAGGGAGAGTCCGCTCTTCCTCTCGAAATACTCTCACACGGCCACATGTATATAGCCTCTGTCAAGGAAGTCCTACTCACTGCCTTCTCGTGGCATTACTGTTGTTTACGAAATTGAGAGGACGAAAGAGAATGTCCGGCACTTTAACCGGGTTGGTGAACACGACGAGTCCACCTAGGGAAGTTGGAAAACCCTGATTCCAAACCAATGGTGCACATAGGCTCCAGTATCCTGAAGGAGCGAATGGCGTATGAATCAATTGTTGGTCACCGGCTACCATGGGAATGCATCTCCTCACGATGCTCCACTGCCTTGTGGATCAGATCTTTAGGTCAAAGGCTATGGGTGTGACCCCCTAAGAAAACCACCTGTTTCAGTTTGGGCACCCGGGCAGTATCACAGCTCTCACACAAATCAAACGAGATTTGTGTGGTGCATATGTATCTGTTGCTTCCTTGTACCAATATTTATGTGTTTAAATAAATAAATAAAGTTAAAAATTCTGAAGCACTGTACAACTATTTCATCTAGGTAAAAGACTCTTCATTAGTTTGTATCTATGACCCCATCTAAAATCGACCCTAGGAATGTCAGGTTTCGCAAACAAGTATTTAACCTTCATACCATTAAGTTGAAGTATAATGGTTTGTAATCGCAACTTTAACAATTTTGCGGTATTGAGTGCTCTTTATTCATTAACTTTGATAATATCTGCCTCACCTTCAACATTTTCGAACCAAAAGGATTAAATTTCCTTGTTAGAACTTTAAGAACCACCTCCTGAAGTTATTCACTAGTGATTGCACAATGATTTTTATAATAATAAGTGATTTCGTAGAAGTATATCAGTTTGATTATGCTATACATCATGAACTAACTTCAGTTCCATCTCAGTAGTTTAAAAAGTAGTGTACTCATACGTAGGCTTGTATATAATTGGTTCGATCTCTAATAAATTTGTGGATTTTCTTGCCTATGTAGTCCCAGACTTAGAGGGATGGGTCGGCCAGTATTTACTTATCTTTACTGGTCTAATGTCTGATGTTTCGTTAAGAAAATCATTTTCAACTAACTATGAATGACAAACCAGATAGTCGTCTTTGCGTAAAGGTAGTGCTTCCTAAAAAGCGAAAATACACAAACTATTTTTGGAAATGAGGTAGAGACAAGTCAGTTTTACGATGTAGTTCAGAAGCCTTCTTGAAATGTCCATCAATGATAGTAAATGCGATTGAAACTAGCATTAGGGCCCCATGGCGAGCACGATACTACTGAAGTAAAACGTAATAGTTAACACTTACCAGCTTCAGTCAATCCGTGATGATTTTACCACAACACCGGTTGAATTGATTTGACTTTCTATAAACGTCCCTCATATAACCTGCACTCCTCCAGTTAACTAGATTTGTATACGTATCCGGTTAGCCTTCCATTTATCTGACAGTTTCAATAGTTTAATATTTCAAAAGGTCTTTTAGATATCCATCACTTAATGTAACCGAACTAATTTTCAGTTATAAAACAACGCCGTAGACTTTGACAAGGTAGGCGTCTAGACTATATACTTCGCACAAAGTAGAACAGCTGTCATGTACTTTAATGAAAAACTAACTGTACACATATGTTACCTATAGTTAACTACTATCGTACGACCCGATGCATAATACACATTGATATGGAAGTCAGTTGGTAAGAAGTTAATTATTCTCTAGACACAGATCTGGTATCAATCCATGAAGTGGTTAACTTTCAGACCGGTCATTTCATACCTTTCGTCCACCAATCTTGTTTGCTTCATTCTAACTAGATTTCTTACGTTTAACTTTACACTACAAATGATATTATTTTGATGGAGTTTTGTTCTCTGAACTGGATGGTTTGGTCGTGGAGCTTTCATCGTCCTTCTGAACGACATCATATCGTTCAGAAGGACGATGAAAGCTCCACGACCAAACCATCCAGTTCAGAGAACAAAACTCCATCAAAATCACCCATCTGAGCTACAAATCTTCTCCACCATCTCAAGATGATATTATCTCATCTCCTTCCTATGTTTTTTAATTTCATCTCTCGTTGTACAACATAAACTGTTGCATTTTCACTGTAGTGCTATTAGACAAATTCATTTTGATTGTTGAATTCATAAATCAATTGAAGCTAGACCACCATAGAAAATTTGGAAGCACTGAACGGCCGTTTCGTTTTGCAAATTCACTAGCACAACACTCATCTTTCTCATTATTCAAAACTATATATCTATATATATTTATTAAACTCACCAGTTCCAGTTTCATCTTTTCATTTACAAGTTCTTCAATTCTAGATTCCATATTTTCTATTAATTTTACTAATCCATCCCGTTCAATTGTCAAACTTTTAATATGATCAGGATCACAAAGTTGATCACATTGTGAAGAATGAATGAAATTAGATTGTATTATATCATTGGTTTCAGTGATTACTTCATGTTCTGATTTATCCAAATGTATTTGATTGACTGTAGTAAGACGTTCATTCATGTTGTCAATTAACTGGTTTTTCTCAATAATTATTTCCTATATTTTAAACCAAAATATACTGTATTCTTAATAAATGAGTATGTATCAGGTTAATTTAAATGATCTACGTAACGAATGAAAACCAATTCTGTAAGCTGAAGAGAATAGTTAACTCGAATTCTCTTCCATTGAATTTTAAAAAAACATTGATTCGAGATAAACTGTCATTTCCTCAAGAAAACAATATAGATATGGATGTATAGTTCAATAGATTTACTTCTGAACATTGTATAAACATGTGATTTATTTTCAGAATATTTCATAGTAAATGACAGTTAAACGAATAGGCATCTAAATTTACTAGACTAAAGAATTCACAACTACTATCCATCACTCATACAAGTTTAAAACTATTGATCCGCTGCCCCCAAATGCCCTGGTATGGCCGAGAGTGAGGAGAGTACGCTCTCTATCTCTCGAAACGCTCTCACATGATCACGAGTATATAGCCTCTGACAAGGAAATCCTACTCACTGCCTTCTCGTGGCATTACTGTTGTTTACGAAATTGAGAAGACGAAAAGCGAATGTTCGGAGCTTTAACTGGGTTGGTGGACGCGGATGATCCATCTAGGGGAGTTGGAAAACCCTCACTCCAAACCAATGGTATACATGGGCTACAGTATCCTGAGGAAACTAATGGCGTATGAATCAATTGTTGGTCACCGGCTACCATGGGACCGCATCTCCTCACGATACTCCACTGCCTTGTGGATTAGACCTTTAAGTCAAAGTCTCGGAGTGTGGCCCTCTAAGAAAACCACCTGTTTCAGTTTGGGCACCTGGGCAGTATCACAGCCCTCACACAAATCAAACGAGATTTGTGTGGAGCATATATATCTCGTGCCCCTTTGTACCAATACTTATATGTTTAAATAAATGAATATATAAAAATATTGATCAGCTTAAAAGGTTTATCATTCTTAAGAATTTCTATCAAATAATTCCATTAAAATGACATTTTTTGTGAGTTAATCACTTTTTTAGATAATCATGCTTCAAAACATTTCAGAAACTAATTTATTAACTCTTTTCTCATGTCTAATAATGTTATCAGAAGGAGGTTTTGTGGAGATTTTAGTAATTTTATATAGTTGAATTTATAAGTCAATTGAAGCTAGACCACGATGGAAAACCTGGAAGCCCTGAACGGCCGTTTTCGTGGTGGTCTAGCTTCAATTGAATCATATTTTCAACTATATAAAATTACTAAAATCTCCACAAAACCCCTTTTGATTATAATCATATGCTCACTAGTGACTGACTTCAAGAGATATTTCCTAGAGTTCTAGTGAGAAACAGTGATCAGTGGAGTTCAAACACGTCTCTTGTGAGATATCAACTCACTGAAGACAATTGGTGAACGGTTACTCAACTTCGTGGATTGGTTGAAGTTAGACATTAACACCATCAGATGCCGGCAGGTTCAGTGGTCTACACATAAAGCGTTCGCGTGCGAGAACAATAGGTCCTGGATTCGAATCTCGCCAGGCGGGATGGTGGATGCGCACTGCTGAGGAGTTCCATACTAGGACGAAACAGCCGTCCAGTGCTTCCAGGTTTTCCATGGTGATCTAGCTTCAATCGACTCATGAGTTAAACTATATAAAATTATTAATGTTGTCTTTAATAGTCAATGACCTTTAAAATATCCGTAAAGATTGTTTAGTGTTGTTAACACTTTTGAGTCCTAAGTTTTTATTAGTAACAGTAATATTTAATAGAGTTCGGTTGATTGTTATTTACCGCATGGACTAAATAACGTGTAGCTCATGTTTTTTTTGAATATTTTTTTCCGGTTAACTTTTTTTTAGCGAGTTGGTTTTCTACGAGATGGGATAGCTAACCCCATACCCAACCCTCCTCCTTTACTCGGGCTTGGAACCGGCAGTAGCCCCCAGAGGAGCTACAGACAGAGACAACAAACCAGATTCCAGTGGAGGAATAAATCAGGGAGAGGCGCTGGAAGTGGGTAGGGCACACTTTAAGGAAATCACCCAATTGCGTCACAAGACAAGCCCTTACATGAAATCCCCAAGGCCAAAGGAGAAGAGGAAGACCAAAGAGCACATTACGCCGAGAAATAGAGGCAGACATAAGAAGAATGAACAAAAACTGGATAGAACTAGAAAAGAAGACACAGGACAGAGTGGGTTGGAGAATACTGGTCAGCGGCCTATGCTCTATTGGGATTAACAGGCGTAAGTAAGTAAGTAAGTAAGTAAGTAAGTAAGTAAGTAAGTAAGCTATATTTTTCTTTAAAAAACCTATTTTAAATCTATAAGCCATGTTCTAAGATTTTTTAGTGAATCCTTTTAGTTGATCAACATAATTGCATAACTTTGATTGTCCTAATGGATGACATCAGCAAACAGAAGTACACTTATAATGTTGACCAGAGTAATATATCTAAATTTTGGCATCAGTGAGTAAACTAACATGTTACTAGGCAAAACATCTTCATTTAACATTATAAAATATAATAAAACATTTGCTTACTTCTAGTCTTTTAATTTCTATATCTTTTCTTTGTTTTAGATTTGATTGTTGTTCATTGAATTTTTCTATTTCATCATCTTTTTCTTTATTTATTTGATTCATTCTATTTAATTCATTTTGTAGATCTTCGTTACGATGAACTAATGATTCAACTAATTCATCATCATGTTTTCCTTTTTTTATTAAAAATAAAATTTGTTGTTTTAATTCTTTTTGTTCTTGTAATAAATTGTTAATACGTAATTTTGTCTTTTGAAGATTTTTCTTAGTAACATCATTATCTTCCTCTAAACGTTTCTTTTCATCTTGTAGTTGAATAATAGTGGATATTTTGTTTTCATTTTGTTCAATAGTATGATTAACTTTAGGCGATTGAAGATCAAGATTATTATCATCATCTTGAAAATAGTTGATACCAAAGAAAGTTGCACCGGAAAATGTTTCATTTTCTATATTGTCTTTGTTAATTAAAACTTCTGTGCAAGAAGAAGCTTTTAAGGCAAGCTGTGATTGTAATTTTGCGATTCGATTTTTTAATGCAGTTATTTGTTGTTGTCGACCACGCCAAGTACCATATGTTCCTTCTGTTTTTAATTTTAAATTTGTTAGCCAAATGTTTATATTTGGTATAATTTCGCCGGTTTCTGCCTCGACTACTTTTTTAGCTAATAGTAAATCATGATTTAAAGTTTGAACTTTTTGACGTAATTCTAAAACAACAGATTCCATTTTTTTAATTTTTTTCTCTTGTCCTGCACTCTCTGATGTATTGTCGATTTTTTCGTTAGTTGTTATTTTGTTCTGCTTACACAAACTACAAATAACATCTTTATTTGATAAGCTAGCTGATTCAGATTCCAATTTTCTGACTACCTGACACAAGTTATTACATCTGTTTCGTTCACTAACAAGTGCAGCATTCAATTCCCTAATCTTTTTAGACAACTCAATAATTTTAAGTGAGGCTACATCTAGTCCCACATCATTAGGGTGAATTCTATGGACTCCATGCATGGTAACACTCTCTATTTGTTTTGAGTCGTCCTCATTACAGTAATCAGGCATTGTTTCGTTTATTTTATTTTCTATTTGCTTGAGCCGTCATTCTTAGTTTGAACCTTATACGCTTTTAAGTGACGTACTACTAAAAAAAATCAAAAAGTATAACAAAAACTCATCGCGAATATTTAAAATGTCGCGTTTATTATCAAAATAGCTTAAAGTAAAGTCTTGAAATTTTCATCATTTTTTCCTCAGTTCCACTCTTTATGTTAACAATCTTGTAACACTGGGACAATTATCTGATTTTCGATTATCGATTTTCTCCCTCGCCAAACTTAATGCTCATACCTTTTAGACGGAATCTGTGTTACAACGCTGAGAGGTTCTTTATTTGTAATAGTAACAGCCAAATGAATTCCTTCAGTTATTTTCTATAAATCATTGAAGACTAACTTTACTTTGCTATTCCTCCGCGACATTTCCTCTTACCTTTCCAAGACAAAATATGCTAAAATAAATACATTTAACACTTTTACGATGAACATATTATACGCCGCAAAGGTATCCTGCAGATAAATAGACGGATTAGTTTTTATGTGTTATTTTTAATTATGAATGCGTGTAAAACTTGAAAAACACTAAGTTGTATCAATTTGTTCGTCAACTAATATGCTTCTGTATGAATATCGAAACTCACTAAAACACGGGAACAGTGATATATAGCAAAATTGCTTATTTAAATTCCCACAGTATGCTTTTGTTTGCAGGAATATATGACTAGTCGTTCTTTGAGTTTTCAAAACATTAGGCTTTAAAAACGCTCCTAGTTATATATTTCTGTAAACAAGATAAAGTGATGTATACATCTGAACAGATATAAATAGGTAACAGTCTTACAAGTCAATGTTACTTACGAAAAACACATAAAATTCTGTAGTACTTCAGTTTTATGAGAGCTCCGTCGTGATCAAAATAGCTGTCATAACATTTTGGACTGTAGCACTGGGTGCAATGCGTCCGATTCTGATAGGAAACGCTAGTCTCCTTAAGGGACAAAACCAAATACTAGAATTCGCTGACGATTACCGTGGTTTGAAATATCCTAACCTCAGTGAAATTTTAATAATTATAATATGTCAAAGTAAGTGTTGATTGAACTTGTGCAACATACATTCGGACAAAATCATGCAATGAAAGTTCGAAAACACACCGACCGAGTTATTATCACCACCTAAAACCTTTCTCTTGACGTCCGTAATAACTTATCAGTAGCTTCACCTTGCGTTGGATAAAATATCATGTCCGAACAAATGATATCACATCCAATGACCAAATTTTTCAGTAGAAGTATAGATTTTCACAAAGCCCAAAAGGCCAAGATTAATACAACCCGGTCAATTTGCTATTCTGATAGCTGAAAATTTTAGAGATTTTCATAAAATGTCAAACGCTTATGGGGAACTTTCACAAGTGAGACCACTAAGTTTTGTTTTGCACACGCTGATGATTTGCCGGAAGAAAAGCGCTTAATAGTCAAACGAAATGCAAACTGTTAGAAGTCATAAATTTGTGCAAAAAGCAAGTAGATTGTAGGGTCACTGAATATCGAACAAGATCAATTGGCTAAAATTGCCGTTAAAATAAATCCTTCGACTCAATGCTTTTATGTTCGCTGCTCAATTAGCTTTCAACTAACTGCAACTGACCAACTAAGGTATAAATACAGCCAACCAAACATTAATTTAAAATCAAAGGCTGTTTCTGTCTAACCGCGTTGCTAAAGTTCGATTCGATATATTCAAAGTACGCTCCAGAACCTATTAGTTATAATAAATTATGTCGAGGTGTTTAAACAAAATCTCCTCGTGATGAAAGACAACTTCAATTTCATTTTGTATTTATAGATATATGGATTTAAAAAAGATCTTGTAGTAGTAAATGAGTCCCCGTAACAAATGGTTCCCTAAATCTTCAACATTTGGTTCTGACCCCGTTAGTTTTACTGGACACACCTATCTAAAGACGCTTGACTGCGCAACTGCATTACATAATGTGTGAGCACCATGTGCTGTGCAACCATTGAGACTGTTAGCCAGCTCACACCAAACACTTCTTGATACATCTCTAGTTTTCCAAATATTTCTCCAAACTACTTCACTTCTGACTTCTGATTTGACTGGGTTGGTATACTTCAATTATAAAGGTGTTAGGTCTGAAGGCGTTATAAGACTCCAAATGCCTGTAACATGTTTAGTGATTAGTCTGACGTGATTCGGTAAACCGAACAATAAGCCGTGAGTCTATTATATAGACCTGAATCCTATAAATCGAGGAGTAGAAAGGTAGTAAGTAGCTACTGACCTGTTATTTTACCAATTGTAGTTGTCAAACTGAAGGAAAAGAATGATCATATGACTATCTTAAATTATGTGGATGTTATAATCTTTTATTTTGAGAGCATCATAGTTTTAGGACAAGCTGATAATGCTTGACAAATAAAACCATATGATTTCAACTAGATGTTCGCCGCTGTTGCAAATGAGAACAAGAGTTGCTGAAAGTAAACTTTAATGTTGCTAATTGTCAAATAAACCTAACAGTGAAGTTATTCGTTGTTATTTGTGATACTCCCGCCCGTAGCAGCGTTGAATATGTTGTTGGACACAATGGTGCAGCACGTTGTGTAGATATGTACATCAACACATCTGAAAATAAATAGTTTTGGGTTAGCGTATGCGCCTGAACTAAGAGAATAACAAAATAGAATTAAGAATCAGTGTCAGCAACCAGTATTAGTGTGTACGGTTAAAGTTTTCTTCGTAAAATGACATCAGCAATAATGCCGAAACTTTATAACCATGTTCTTATCCTAATTCCTAGAGTATTAAAATATGCGGTAGATTTTGTCGTTCTCTGATTACTCAGAACCATATCAAGGCCATTTGCCTGTATACTTTGGGTTTACCTCGGTTCTCTCACACACAAGTCATGTAAAAGCATTTGCAACATTGACTGCAAAAGCCATTAGTTTGTCGCATTGTAAAAAAACTGGTGAGCGTGTGTACAGTTTAAATGTGAACTGTGGGCTATTTACTTTATCTGCCTTGTCCATTAAACGTTGCTTATTACAGTAACTCTACATACATTCTCTGCATTTTTGCATCTTCCATCTACAACCATAATGAGTTTAAACACTCCCTCAACTGCTTCTTACGTTGTTTAACATCCATATATGTCTTTGTATTAAGGGAGTTTTATTGCCCCTGATAAATGATTCAGGCTTCTTAGAAACTGCGCAGTCTTGTATCACAGAAGGATATTGGGGTGATCGGAAAAGCCTTCAAAGATCAGTTTTTGAGCTATCAGTACGTGCATAACTTTAAAAAAACTGGTCCGCACATATCATGGTCTACCACCCGACATTGTTTCCTAAGGATTGCCATGGCCATCCGGGAGGTAGTCCGTATACTATTGTTTGTCAAGAAGCAATAAACCGGACAACATTTCTCTTTTAGACACTATATATCTGTTACCATCTCAACGCTATCTCGCCTAGTGTAATCACAGCCCTTTCAACAGTGCGTCCAACAGCAGCTAGACAATAATGTGTATATCCATAGACTGCAACGATGACTATCTGTATGCAATGACACGCCATTATATTCGTCTCCCTGTCTCCATCTTTCACAACACTACCTTCTTCCCTACTTCTTTACCGTTCCAGTCCATATGTAGTATCCAATGCCGTTGTAACCAGCAAGTTTAAACCAATATATCTGTTTGTGATGACGCCTTAGCGTTAAGGGACGATATTTTATCTCTGATATCCTGAAATTAGGTTAGCTCTCTGCTCAGCTGAAGTGGTCCCAGTGATCCTACGACATAACTCAGGACTGATATATTTTAATTATGAGTAATTTTGTAGCAGGGTATGGAAATTGCAAGGACCAGTGTTTATCTCGTTGATGAGGCAGTGTTTGTTTGATCGTAAGTCGTGAAGAATCATAGGAATAATATGAGTAGAAAGTTTCCCTTGTTTTATTCTGCACCACTCGGCGCTACCTGCAAAACAACTGTCTTTAGTTCACCATTACAAACATTCATTCCAAACCAACAAGTGTTTACTCGATGTGGACTACATTGAGTTCGTGGATATTTGTGCGCTAGATGGTCACTATAGGTAGTTTTTTGTCGTCGATCTCAAATTCGTGAGGCGAAGTCAGTTATGCTATATGTAGGGTCAATCTCTTCCAACCACTTCCTTTTATTGTGAAGAGGTAGCATCACTGCAAACTATGGCGGTGTTAAGGAAACACCTTTCTGCCGCCACACTCCTAAGCACTCAGCAATATGATCATGCCTTCGAAACTCCGGAACTTATACAAACAATTCGTTTCGAGCACGTAACAAAAAGTGGCAATGATATTTTTTCAATCCCAATAAATCTTTTAGTGTTTATTGTGTCCTAAGTTGAAAAGGTTTTTTTGCTTTCATTTAAGTCCCATTTTTCAGTAGCAGTAACATAGAAATCTCAGCCTTTTGTGTTCAGTGTCTATAACCTTTGTAGCCTTAAAAACACATATTCTAAAGTTCAATTCTTCTATTTGTTTGTTTTTCTTGCACCTCAAGAGCTTTTTATTGTTCTCTCTGTGAGATCACTTGACAATTTTAATGTAGCAAGTGAAACAACGTTAAGGTAGACTCGTATGTATTTACCCCTAAACGATGGAGTGCAATGTAAAAACTGCAACAAGTGGTACCACAACGTGCGCACCAGGTCCATTCCTGTTACAAGCCACTATGAATCTGGCTATGCAAAGCAAAACAAATTCTTTGCTGATTCTTGGGATGATTGAACTGCTGAACATAGCTGGAAAGATGCCCCCAGATAAAAAAGCCAGCAGTATATTATTATTACTAAAAGTACGGAAACAAGATTAGATCTTCGCGTTTGACGCCAAATCGGACTACAGGCATAAGAAGATTGAAGAAAAAGAAACTTCACAGCCTGTAAAGACGAGCCCTGATAACATGTCAGCCACTTCTCATTAAATAAAAGAATCTTCTGAAAAGAAACAAAATGCTAGATTTGAGCATTATCTGAGCCACGTTGAGTTTTTAATAAGCAAGCCACATTCAAAAAAATAGCAGGAAATAGCATCTGTAAGCTATTTAGGATAAGACAGACGATGGATTCCGAAAGTACTCAGAAATGCCACCTTCTTGGAGAGACCCGGAAAATTCCTGAGAAAAAGCATAGAAGGGCTCTGAGCACGATAGAAAACATTTTATCCAGTCAGCACAGACTAGAAGTTCCTCGCAAACATCTGGAAAGGGAGAATTCGCTTATCACATTACTGATTGAACGAATGCTCTTCTTGCTCCTATGTTTACAAGTAGTTCAGCGAATTGCAGAAGCCCAAAGCCATCTGAAATGCTGTAAATACCCCCGATTTTCTGTACGTAGACTAACCCTCGAGTAAAGTGCCCTTTCATTTTTCTCGTCTTTCCTCTAGTGTTCAAGTTGCCGTGCACATTTATCTTAGGGGCTAATAGAAGAGGTTGGGAAAATGAAACAAGAAGATTTATCACACCTCTTAAAATTTACCTTTGCTTCTTATGGAGTAAGAAATCGAATGCTGGAAAACTCGTGCAAACTGAATGGATCCGGAATATATGTCACTAGGGGTCCCAGCCTGATTCGTTGTATTACGAGACGATTGGCAAAGGTATAAATGAATGAGCGCCACTAGAACGGTAAACAAACCTTGTACTTAAAACTTTCCAAATTGTAGAAGTTCGGATTATCAACCGTACAACCTTTTGAGACTCTGGCACACGATTCAGAGACATGTGAACTGGTGCGCTGCAGACTGAAATGTAAGCTGCAGGATATTGGAATGGTCGTAGTAAACCGCAGTCAAGAATGTGTAGTAGATGACTTCCTCCTAAGTAAACTTAAGTCCTGGTGTAATAGGAGGTAAAAGCCTCATAGTAGACGACTTCAATCCACCGCCCATGAACTGGAGAAACTCAGAATTAAGGTACCAACAACATCGTTTGATTGCAGATTGTTAGAAATCACATTTGCCCTGACTTTATTCCAATACAGAGATCCCACCAAATGTGACTTACAAAACTCTCCGTCTCTCATGGATTTAATCTTCACACACGGTGATGATGTCGGTCAAATAACTTTCCTTCCACCTCTAGTGAGAAGTGAACATGCAGTCATCTTATTCAAGTTCATGGCAGAGGCGGCCTGTTATACAGTTGCACCGGCTCCTCCTAACATATGGAAGGCAGGCATGGAGGCAATCAACTCTATAACCTCGGGCAAAAACTGAATAACTGACCCAGGGTCTCCAGTAGAAGATGCATGGACACATTTCCAGAGGTTCTACAACTATGTGGTTGAACCGTTCATACTCTGAACAGTCCCAAAGAAGAAGAAGCATGTCCATCCCTAGATAGGTCGGGATATTCGACGTCCACTGTGACAAAAGAAATGTTGGAACGTTGCTATCAGCCTTGGCACAGCAAGTACAATGGAACGCTACAGGTCGGTACGAAATAAGTCTATAATTACAATGCGGGAAGCTCAGATGAAATATGAAAGTCAGTTGGAATAATATGTAATCAGGTAATTTGAAAGACTGTTCTTGTACATAAATTATAGAACAAGGACACAACATTAGATCCTCAACCTAATTACGAAAGGTGGTCGGTCTCAAATGACAGAGGATGATCAGGAAGAAGAAGAGGTTATGACAAACTATTTATGGGCAGTATCCACACAAGAGCCTCTTCTAGATGAGAAGCTAGACCCAAAAACAAAGTCAGCAAACCGTGTGCTCACTGAGGACTTCTATCGAAACGGTGTATTTAAGACCCTTAGCACTTCAGACGCGGAAAAGTCAGCAAGATCGGATGAAATCTTTTGATAAATTTCCTACGGAAATGTGTTTGCTGTCGTAAGACAGATTGAACAAAAATATCGGCCGACTGCGGTCAAAGGGAAACAGGTTTGATTGAGCATGTGTCGTTCGTAGGCCTGCTGCTGTTGGATGACGAACCCAAAAATTGTCCCGGAAGTCGCAGTATCGTCCCACAAACGAGATGAGCTGCAGCGTATCCAATGTCGGCTTTTTACGGCACTGCGAATACCAAGTAAGACGATTGGAAGAGTGTTTGTCCACTGTGAAACGTTTGCAGCTGAGAGTGAAGCTTCAAGCTGTCAGGGGAAGCATTCTACCAACCCGTTATTTGTGGGTGGTAGGCAGTTTATCAGAATCCTGTGATTAGTAACAGTGTAGTCAGGCAACGGAAAAAATTCAAATTCGAACTGGAGTCCACGGTCTTTAGCGGAAGCTGAAGTTACCTGTCCCTATCTGTTTATTACGCAGTTTAAGGGTTGTTGAAGATAACTCGTGCTGAAGATCAGTGTGTTCTTTTGGGAGCTGGGCGAGTTTAAGAAGGTCGATTCCTTGTAAACTTTTCAGAGAAGTTATGCAAGACAAAGCATCTGAAATTATCTCTCTCATTCGCAACAACATTTTTGTTGCTGAACCATGTTGTAGATGGAAGCTGATCTAACCTCTATCGATCTGTCAGACCTCCACTTTTTAGAATGGACCGTTTTGGAGTTTCGTAAGGTTCCGAAATATCACTAGTATTCATACTAGATGCAACGTATCTGTTGACTTCGCGCTGTAGTGCCTTCACTTTTGCGAGGAATTGTGCACGTGCGTTGGTCACGCCGTACTCATAGAAGTCAACCTCTGCGTAGCAGAACTATCATAAATATAAAGTACAGGAATGAACGAAGGGAAAAATATCCAAAAGTACGAAAGAATATCACAATATATAATATTTAAAGTAAAGTAATGATATATATAGTTCCAAAAAAGAACAGACTCAGTTTACGAGTTTGGTGCACCAGATCACGTCGGATAACCAATGAGGATGCCATAAGTATTTGGAGTTTGACAACACCTTAACTAGTAATGCCTTCTATAATCGGCACGTGTTCACTCAATGAAATCAGAAGTCAGTTATAGCGCAGAGAACACTAAAGGGGATATTCAGTTGTTTCAGGACTTCAAAATGTGGCATCTATGAAATATGAGATCACTGAAGGTCTGTGGTTCTATATTGCAATGACCATTACCAAATAACACGGTTGGTCTTCTAGCAATTTAGTGAGCCGTAGGATCGTAAATTTATGCCATGATAAGGTATATGAATACTCAGTTTAAAGGATAGGTAGATAGCAGTCGTCTCCCATTTTCTTCATTTTCATGACTTCTTAAAACCTATCTTAACTTGGAATACACCAGCGAAACTCGATTTAAGAGTTCTAGTACAACGTTTAGGTCTCATTGATCAATACGATATACTTGTTAAAGACTCAATTCGTATTCTCCAAGGTTATCCAGCATTCTCCTTGTACAATCCAATGTCAGCTTAAAAGTCGGGTAGTTTTGAATTATTTTTTCACATTATGTTAAAATATTATCATGTTATGAAAGCGATATTCAATATTGTTTTTGTCAGCTATGCTTTGCTCCCTTGACAAAGATTTAAAATCCATAGACATTATATTAGCTAGCACTTCGCCACGTCGGAAAGAGATACTTGGGAACATTGTAATTCATTTGTCTTACTGATTGATCATTATATTTAGGGTCTGCAGTTCTCCTCTATTTGTCCTGATGTTGAAGAGTCTCTGCCTTCAGAAAACTTTCAATCAATGCCAGCTCATATCGAAGCCATAGCTAAACTTAAAGTGGATGCAGTGGTGAATACCTTGGATATCAGTGAAGTTTGTTTACCTTTTTATGCTCATATTAATGATAGCGTAACTATGTAGTCATAGGAGCAGATACTATGGTATGTTTTGAGGATTGTATTTTTGGCAAACCCTCAAGTCACGTGGACGCTGTAAATATACTCAGTTGGTTTGTGATACACCTAATCTATACCATTTGTAGTTTGAGTGGGAATGTTCATCAAGTAATAACTGGTGTATGTTTAAAGTGGATTGTATCTGGGAAACAGCAGAAAACTGATCAATTTCATGAAGTAACAAATGTAAAGATGATTGAATTAAGTCCTCTCATGATTGAGGGGTATGTTCAGTCTGGAGAGCCAATGTATGTTTCCAGGCTGAGTAATTTAGTTTTACTAGCATCATTCTTCATTCAGAAGAACGTAGATGGGTGGTTATTGTTCAACTATCTATTTTCTCGAACGGATTGACATAAGTTACTTAACTGTTGAATAGGTATTTTGTTTCATATCAGTAGACAGTATGATCCATAAGTGTCAGAAATAGGTACCATAACTACGTTTATGTCTCATTGTACTAGCCTACGCTGTATAACCTAGTTCCAATAATCTATTTGAAGACCACTAATTTATTGTAAAAATTTATCAGTGGGTATGGAACGTGCACCAACTGCAAGCACTTGATCATGTAGTTATTTTCTAGTGGTAGTTGGAATCTGGCGAAATTACTAATCAATAATATGCTCAATGAGAGGTGAAGATCGGCTGATGAGGCTATGAAATGTCACCAGCGTATGTATTTGAAACACGTTTTACTCATCTTTAGTCACCGCTTACTCAGACGTACATCACTTACCAGCGTAAGAGTAGGCTAAGAGAAAGCCACTGTTGGTCTGTATCATGTTAGAAGATAGAGAATTCCTGGTCAACTCACAAAACAGTAGTGAGTAGCTGAAGCTGTTAGTTGTTCTTGGATTATGTCTCAGTTGGATTAATTCTCAATCTTCTCTTAAGTCTTGCTTCAAATCAGCTACTAAAAACTTTAATAGATCCACTTATTTGTTTAAATTCTTCATATAATTACTTAAGTTTCTTCATTGTTTTCAATATTACAATCCTCATCATCCTATTTCAGGGATAAAGCTGGAGCTTATGGTATCCAAGGGTTGGGTTCAAGTTTAATTGAGCGGATCGATGGAGATTATTTCAATGTTGTTGGTTTGCCTGTTTGTCGGTTATGCAAATACTTAAAAGCTGGATGTGAAGAAATAGTGTCTAAATTGTCAAACACATAAAGAGTTCTTATCGAACTGAGCAAATATCCCAGAAAATAACTAATATCCGTCAGTATTCTATCACTTTAAACTGATGAATTGTATGCAAAGTTGTCATAATTTACTGAAAAATTAAATAATATTCTCGTTCACTTATTTTATCATTATGCAAGTAGACTGTACTTCTTACAATGTCACCTTAGATTTTTTAGCTATGTATTTCGCAAGTAGTGTTCTCCATTTTCTGTGTGTGCGTACATTTAAATCTATATCGTCAGTAAAGTATATAAAGAACCGAGGATTTCATCTAAATGCAACTCACTAACTGCGCCTGTTAACGTACTCTACTTTGAATGGTAAAGCGTCGAGATGCTAACCCACAATTGCTTAAACCGATGTTTATGTACTGACTTTTTTAAACTTTGATCTCTTTTCTTCATGCTCGATCAGTAGTACTAAATAGAAAAAAAACCTTGCACAAGTGTGCTTAGGTTGCAGTTACTAAACTTTATATGAAAGCTGGGAAAGGAAAGCGGTGGTATAAAATAACTATAGAGAAAAGCTTAAAAGAACAAAGGAGATGTAGAAATACAGTGTATAAAATAATTCAAAAACTTGGTATTATAAGTTAGTGAAGGAATAGATCTGAGCCACTACAAATGATCTTGGCCTGTATTTTCAAATATTTTCAGCTAGTGATCATATTTATTGTACGTAACCCAATCAGGAAGTTTTCAATTCCTCACATTGTTCCCACCAAGTCAGTCACCCTATGGGTTGATTCCAAGTTTGACGTGGCTACCTAGCTGCTTACATACTGACCACTACTTTATGTGGGGCCATTCTCAGCATATGACGGCGTTATTCATTCTGTCGTTAAACCGCTGGACTAGGGTTCTAATTATGGTCTCAGAGGTCGGAATCAAAGTAACTCATAAACTCTGAATATCTTTGACGTTTCGCTCTTTAGTTACATATTGGTTTATGTATTTTGTTCGTTTTGTATTTTTTATGGTTCAGACAATTAAGTGATAGACTTTTACATTGTGGTTCTAGACCCAACCTTCCCAAGTAACCAGTCGACGTTTAGTTTGTTAAATACCATTGAGTATCGAATATGTTTGTGACTTCACAAGCAGATGCTGAAATTTGTTTGTGTTAGTCTTGTACAAACATATTTGTTTTACCAACTGTAAATACGTGTTTCTTATTCAATCTGTAAATAAATCTACTAGGTGAGTTTCGTCCTAGTTGATGCTTCATAGTTGGAAATGTCTCCAGGATCTAGGGAACTAATGTCTTTTTATGGATATTAATCTGCATCGCTTCAAATCAAAGTCTTGCTTATTACCACCGAGCCCTTTAATAACCTGATAAGATTGTTAGTTAATGATACGCAGGAATTGCTGCTTCATCATTTTTCTTACTAAACCATAAGTTGCCATCATACCCGAGAGAATTATTCCCTAAGTTCAACCGTGAATACAGCTTAGATTTTATAAAGCCAGAATCCAACTTTTATCATAATGAATGATTGTCGAATACGAAAAAATTGAAACGTCCATAATATTCTCATTTTCGATTCAGTGTTGAGCTACTTGACTGTCTAGAGCTATAGTACCTTTTGGCTTCATGTTTTTACCTGGACATTTGGAAATACAAACGTAGTACATGTCTTGCTTTGGAAAATACATATAAACTTATAAGTGTAGTTGGAGGTATTTACGAAGACTGCTTGTTGATTTTGTTCCGTTTCGGTATGCAGTTCGTTTAATTTAAAGTGATGAATCCTGCCATTGTGAAAGCAATTTTCAGCCTATTGTTTACTCTGCAATTAAGAAATCCAATAGTTACATCCATTTTAAAGTTATGGTCTAAAAACCAAGACTTCTTAACTTCTGTTCTTGTGTTGGTTCTGGATTTTCCCGTACTTATAAAGAGTTAAAAATAGGTTGTACAAGAAAATGACAAAATAAACTAATGGTTATTCAGGTTCAGTTTTACGTTCATAAATTCGAGAATAAAACAATTAATCTTTTTCAGTCTTGAGTGCTGTTAGAGGTATGAGGGCAGTTTTCACTTCCCGGTTGCCCACACCGTAGAAGGGTTCTTCTAGAGGTACCTGATGTGCATTTTTAGGGTCGACCTTTTCTAACCCCACCCCTCCTTGTGGGAATGCAGCATCGCTGTTATGCTGGTTGTCTGAAGGAAACACCTTACTGCTGTCACACCTCTGTACAGTCGGCAGTACGACTTCGGACCTTGGGTTTGCTGCATTTAGTCTTACCGCTCTCCAACCGACCTTTCTGGCATGGTAGGACGTTGAGGAACGATTGTTCCAGCCAGTATAGCTCGATTGGTTCATCATGATAGGCAAGCCCGACCACCACGTCAAGGTAGCAGCAATGGTCGGGATTGATCTTTTTACTGTTATGACTTTATAAAAGAAGGCCGTTGCCAATTTGTTATGATTTTATGTCTGGCTTTTTATCACGTGGTTTATCCGCCAATTAAAATACTACTTCTTCAGTCTTAGCACGTGCCAAAACAACGACGTTCGACCGGCATAAGCAGTCTAGCGTCCTTGTTGGTCCCTTGTCCGCCTAGCCCTTCCAATTGACTCCAAAACACCAATTACAGCTTCTGCTATGCGAACCACTTATTTCAAGCATACTTGGTTTATATACCAGACAGACCGCATCACACCATAAAGTAGGAAATAATATATGTACAAGATTAAGCCAAATATGGTTGTGAACGTGGGAGACAGTAATCAATAAACTGAGTTAAATTTAGGAACAGTAATTCGTATAATAATAATTCATAGGTCAAAGTGATGCTTATAATAAGATGAATATATATAGATTAAATCTAATCACTGAATAGTTATACAATACGAATATATGTAGAGTAATAGTCCATTAATAGATCTCGGAAGTTACCTGTACTTATGTTTTTATTTTAAACTATCATCTTCACAATGGTATTGAGCATTTGTAGTGTGGCATTAATTGTTAAATAAAATGAGTCACCGAACTTTGACAAGAAAAATGTATCGAGTTGTGAGTGAAGTCCCAAACATATTTGTCAATAAGGCGAACCATGAATTGGTGTGAAGATCTTGTATTTGAGAAACTAATTTGATCTTTATTCACTACTTTTTATTTCAAACGTCTGATCTTTATTAGTTTTGTATTCAGTCACAACGTAAAACTTCGTACGTACGTACATGAGTTCGAGTTGCCATACCACATAACCACAGAGATGTAGTTGTCGATTCAAATCCCATAGTGGTAGAAGTATTAAGAGTATAAACATTATGTGAAAAATTAGGGTTTGAAGATGTTATTGAAGGAGTATAAATTTGAAAAGAGTAGAAGGATAGGGATATAAAGAATTTGGCAGAACACAAAGAGTGGATGCACCTTCACCATTGCAAACGACTTTGAGTCATGTCATTTGCAATGGCGCAAACGATTTTGTATTCTGTTAAGTTCACTTTGATTGCTGTTCTATAATTACAGTCATATTGTGACGAAAAACCTGCAAATAGTTGACTTCTGCAATATTAGCTCTAGACATCTTACAAATCGTCTACTGCAAAGTATCTCAAGAGCTTAAATCGCAGATTGGGTTCACTTGTAAAGACAACTAATGATTAATTAATTAAAACCTGTCTAAAACGTCCCCTAATAAATTATGACTTTGTACTGCACTATTTAATTGTGATTGGTAGTTCAAGGTACAGTCAGTTAGATGACCTGTGTACTTTTACCATAGATTACATCCCCTTGGTTCGACAGACGACGTTCCCCCTCTTTTATATTCTCGTTTTACTGATTTATTTCATTTCTGTAACCATAACTCTATTTTTCTTTTCAGTTCTTTATTCATTGTGATGTGATCCACTTTAACACCTTGTCATGAATAACTTGTCTACTTTTCGACTGTATATTCAAACTTTATTTCCTTTTGATTGTTAATAATCCCCTTGAAACATCTATGTTTTCCAACTTCGCGTAATCTTGTTCTTATTTGCTTGTCTGAAGTTGGCCCATTCTCTCCTTACTTCTAATGGTTTAATTAGAGTCTGAACTCCTGACTATTCACGGTTGTAAATGGTAGTAGTTCTGTGTTATTACCGTACTAAATAAATATCATCTTATGGTCCTCAGATATAATGGATAACGCAGTTGTTGATTTAAGACATTCTTACAGATTTTACACATCAAGTTGGATGAGTGATCTTCAAATTGATTCTTAAGTCATGGGTTTTTGATTGATTTATAAATTACTGCCGTGTTCTCTTATTCCGAAATTATTGTAATTTAAATTTAGTCTTTATGCTTCATTTTCTCTACATTAGTGCTCTACTTTGATAAATTGTTGTTTCATTCTTTACGGTCTCGCTATTTGTTAACTCCACGGCAAAAAATCGAGTAATAGACTCTAAATACGGGGGAAAATCCGGTGTCAATATATACTTTTTCTCACAACCCGGGGTAAATAGTGCGAATTTTCGCCCAAATGCCCTGGTTCGACCGGAGGTGAGAAGAGCTCTCTGTCTCTCTAGAAAGGCTTTCACATGGCCTCGCATACACGACTACTGCCAGGGTAGTCTGTAATAACTTGTGATCGAGTGGATACCCTGTTAATGTATAACGGATGGTATCATCAATTAGAGAACAGCGAATTATCGATCGGACCAGCGACACACGAAACCCGTACGAGAAGTCTGGAGTACTTGTCGATCCGGGTTTCTGCCTAGCCCAGCCAGTTAAGTCCAGCCTCCGCGTTAAGAATCATTATGTTTCAAGCATACTGAGTTTATATACTAATCAAACTGACCACATCGTACTATAAAATGGAAAATAACATTTCTACAAGCTTCAGCTAAATGTGGCTGTGAATAGGGAGGTAGTCAATAATAGACAGCGCATAATTCACAAATGGTATAACAAAAGTTTGTGGTTCAAAATAAAGCTCATAATAAGGGGGACATGAATATTAATAGTTTAGTTATTTAGCAATTATAGGATAAAAAAACATATTGACACTATTGGTTCATAAATAGATCTCACCTGAGCTTGCCTCACCAATTTGAGTGTCGACAAGACGAGTTCTGTCCGTGGTCGGGACACATCGAGCAGAA